TCCTGGGCTCAAGCGATCCTCCTGCCTCAGCCTCCCGAGAAGCTGGGACTATAAGCACGTGCCACCATGCCTGGCTGACTTTTTTTCTATTTTTAGTTGCCCAGCTAATTTCTTTCAATTTTTAGTAGAGATGGGGTCTCGCTCTTGCTCGGGCTGGTCTCGAACTCCTGAGCTCAAGTGATCCTCCCACCTCAGCCTCCCAGAGTGCTGGGATTATAGGCGTGAGCCTCCATGCCCAGGCCGGGAATCTGGTTTTGAGGTGTCAAAAAAGCCTCTCTGTGGAAGGGCATGTAGTCTGATCCCCGTAGGATTAGCCAGGAGAAGAACTGGGGGGAAAACACCCTGGGAAGAAGCAGCATTGTGGAGGCTTTGAAGGAGGAGAAACCTTGGCATTGTCAAGAACATGAGAAAAGACGAAAGGGCAGGAGCATAGCGAGGGGGACAAGAGGCTTGTGAGGAAGGCACCGTGGTTGGCAGGGGCCAGGTCATGCTGGGCCTTGAAGCAGTAGGAGCTACAACAGTCGTAGTTGCCATTATGATGACGAGGATGTCGAAGACGGTGATGTATTTGTAACACCTAGTCTGGTCCCAAACTAAATGCATGATATATGCTCATTTCTTCCCACCAACTCCTAGACTTGAAAATGTATGGAGTGTTTGGGAAAAAGAAAGAAGTTCCTAATGTCTTCAGTTCATGAGATAAGGGTTGAGAGAGGACCCTGGAGAAGTCAGATTGGGGTCAGATTATAAAAAGTTTCACATTCCAGGCTAAATGTTTGGAGTTTGCCACATGGGAAATAGGGAACCATGGAAGGTGTTGCAGCAGGGAGTAGTGTGATCACACAAATAGTGTTGTGAGTTCAAGGGGAGACCATGAGGCTGGAGCAGTCACAGGGCTGAGCCTCGTCACGTTAGGCTGAGCCTCGAAGGCTGAACAAGTACATGAGGTCACAGTGGCCCTCCCCTGCTTCTTTCCCAGGTGGTTCCGCGAGTGTTTGGGCGCGTGGTGAGTAAGAGCCGGGAGGCGGTAGCCCAGGCCATGGTGCTGGAGATGTTCCGAGAGGAAGACTACTACAATGACGACGTTCTGGACCAGATGGGTGCCAGTATCCTGGGCGTGGAGGGCCCCCGGCGCCACCCAGATGAGCCCCCTGAGGATGAAGTCTTTGAGCTCTTTCCCATATTCATGGGGGGCCTTCTCTCTGCCCACAACCGGACCGTGCTGGCTCAGCTCGGCTGCCCCATCAAGAACCTGGACGCCATGGAGAATGCCCAGGCCATCAAGAAGAAGCTGGGCAAGCTGGGCCGGCAGGTGCTGCCCCCCTCGGAGCTCCTTGACCACCTCTTCTTCCACTACGAGTTCCAGAACCAGCGCTTCTCGGCTGAGGTGCTCAGCTCCCTACGCCAGCTCAACCTCGCGGGTGTGCGCATGACACCCCTCAAATGCACAGTGGTGGCGGCCGTGCTGGGAAGTGGAAGGCACGCCCTGGACGAGGTGAACTTGGCCTCCTGCCAGCTGGACCCTGCTGGACTGCGCACACTCATGCCTGTCTTCCTACGAGCCCGGAAGCTGGGGTGAGGACCCATCCTCATGCACAGGCATGAAGAGGGAGAGGCTTGGAGGTGAAGAGGTGGGAAGAGAAGGGAAACCAGAGGTACTAAGGACCAGGGCATGGGATGAAGAAGTCTGGTGTGGGTGGAGGTGACAGGAGCAATGGAAGAAGGGAGAGCAGGTGTGGATTGCAAGAGGCAGGCTGATGAGAAAGGGCACAGTACGTGGGCCCCCTCCATGCTGGGTCTTTCCTTGCCTTCTCACCTCTCCTCCGGCCACCTTCTGCTCCAGCTTGCAACTCAACAGCCTGGGCCCCGAGGCCTGCAGGGACCTCCGAGATCTGCTGTTGCATGACCAGTGCCAAATTACCACCCTGCGGTGAGTGCCCTGGGAGGGGTGTGGGAGGGAGGATTTGGCCATCCTGGTGGCCAGCTAAGGTCAAGGGTGAGCTCCCTGCCTCATAGCATACCTGGCACAGGCCTACCCATGGTGTAGTCAAGGGGGGCGTCTAGGCCCTGTCGTGCGCCACCCATCTGGATCCATTATAAGCAGCAGGGCAGGGGGAAAGATGCCACCTGTGATAGGTGCTAAGAAAGCCTCTCATGTGGCTAAAATCTGTCAGGGGTAGGCAGGGAGTAGGGGCGGGGGAGAGTGAATGGTACCTAGGCCAGTTGCCTGGTAACAGTGCCACTGATCCCCTCCCAGGATTTTCTTGCAGCTCACAAGGACGACCCTGATGCCGGGCACTCAGCAGGTGCTCCCTGAATGTTGACTTCTATGCCAGGAGCCCAGGCGGCTGGCTTCCCATTCCTAGTTGGAATAAGGGAAGGCAAATGAGGAAGGAGAAAGGAAGAAGGGGGAAAAGGATGGGGATCGGGGAAAGGGAGAGAGAAGCAGAGGCTGGGGAGGGGCAGAAGAAGGGAAATAGTAACAGTGAAGAGAGGAAGGGGACAGGGAGGAAGGGAGTCAGGGAGAATCGGAGAATGGAAGAAGGGAGAGGAGGGAAGGAGAAGCCAGCTTTCCCTTGCTCTTCCTCCTTCTGGGGCGCCACACCCCCCGTTTCTCCATCCCTTCCTCCTGGGCCTGCATTCTGTGTCCAGGCTTGACTCCGTCCCGGGCTGTGCTCCCTGTGGCCCAAATCCTAACACCCAGCACGGGGCCTCTGCAACAGGCCCCCTAACGTTGGGTTGCCTCTGGTCGCAGGCTGTCCAACAACCCGCTGACAGCGGCTGGTGTTGCCCTGCTGGTGGAGGGACTGGCAGGAAACACCTCGCTGACACACCTGTCCCTGCTGCACACGGGCCTTGGGGACGAGGGCCTGGAGCTGCTGGCTGCCCAGCTGGACCGCAACCAGCAGCTGCAGGAGCTGAACGTGGCCTACAACGGTGCTGGTGACACGGCAGCCCTGGCCCTGGCAAGGGCTGCCCGGGAACACCCTTCCCTGGAACTGCTGCAGTGAGTCCTGTCCCTGGTCCCCTTGTCCCAGCCCTTCAGTCTCCTTCCCTCTCCACTGTGCTGTTCCTACCCTAGGGAGTGCGTCTGGGCCTGGGCCTGATGCCTGTCCTCTATTCCTGGCTTCTGACGGATCCTTATCAACCTACTTCTGAGCCAACCCCCCTCTGTGACTGGTCCTTTCCCTGCCCTGATTCCTTCTCTACAACCACTTTTCCCGGGGCCTACTCTCCCTGGTCCCACTAAATTCTAGTGTCAGTGCCAACCTCCCAGTGGCCGCCACCCTCTGTCTCTGGCCTACTGCGGACACTTACCCTACTGTGTCCCGCAGGCAGGAGGCAAGTTGTGAGGCCTCCTGACCCTCCGGCCATCTACCCTGGGGTCCTCCTTCTCAGAGTCCTGCTGAATGGCATATACTTTCTCTCTCCTGCCAGTCTCTACTTCAATGAGCTGAGCTCAGAGGGCCGCCAGGTCCTGCGGGACTTGGGGAGTGCCACCGAAGGCGGTGCTCGGGTCGTGGCGTCGCTGACTGAGGGCGCAGCAGTGTCTGAGTACTGGTCCGTGATCCTCAGTGAAGTGCAGCGGAACCTCCACAGCTGGGATCGGGCCCGGGTCCGGCGCCACCTGGAGCTACTGCTGCGGGATCTGGAAGATAACCGGGGTGCCACCCTTAACCCTTGGCGCAAGGCCCAGCTGCTGCGAGTGGAGGGCGAGGTCAGGGCCCTCCTGGAGCAGCTGGGAGGCCCTAGAAGCTGAGATGGTGGCAGCAGGCACCTAGCTGTGTGACCACTGGCTACAAACCCCTTCCCTCTGGGGCCTCCTGGCTTGCACTACCCCTTCTAGAAAGATCCCTTTAGGCCTAGAAGCAAAGGAATGGGCACAGCTATGCCAGTTGCCCTCCTGGGGCATGTCCAACCAGTACCCCCAAGTCTGAAGTTTCTGGGGTCAAAGATGGTGAATCGATGCTTCAGGCTCAGAGGTGGAACAGGCTTCCCCTCCCTTCAGCTAGAAGGACCAAAGGATGTGGCATTTGGGTGGCCAGATTGCCCTGTGGCACCACCACCAGTCTTGCCTCTTCCTCCTCTCAAGGAGCCTCTGATTGTGCCACCAAGGGGTACACTTCCCATGCCAGGGATGTCACCATCCAGGTGTGTTGGAGGGCCCTCCCCTCCTGCCCTGTGCTCACCTGTGGACACTGAGGATGCCTCACATTGGTGCTTTCTCCTTGCCCTCCTGCCCCCTTTCCCACAACGGTACCAGTGGCTCAGTGGCGCCTCTGGCCAAATGCACCCGACTTGCTGCTATTAAAAAGCTATGTGTCTTCCCCCTTCTGTGGCCTTCTCCTCCTTGCCTGGTGCTTCCAAGAAAGGGCACTGTTCCTGGTCGTTCTGATTAAACTACTGACCGCATTCTGTTGCAAGTGGCTCTTAGGCACTAGGTTCAGAGGAAATGGGGGCTGGAGGCGCCCATGAACAAGACATTGGGATGGAGGTTGGCCATGCTGGGCCATGGAGCTCCTATCACCCTTGTCATACTGAGCCCCCAGGCTTAGGATTACAGTGACCAGCAATCTGCCTTTCTCTGTGCAGAGGGGCAACTGGGTCAGCTGCAGGGTCTCTGGAAAAAGTTGGGGGCGAGGAATGGGGGCAGGAGGAACCTGCACGTTTGCCCAGAGGACAAGACTCTCATTCTCCCGTTAACCATTACCCCATTGCTTCCACGACAGCGTCTTCAAGGAGGCGGGACTTGGGAGGGGGTAGGTGAGCTGGTTGGGATGGACCTTGTCCCTCCTCTGAGCACTGGGTGGCTGATCCAGCTATGAAGGCAGCTGCAGGTAGGAAAAGTCCTCTGGAGGGGACTTTGGGGCAGTCAGGGGGCAAATTTGGAGGGTGAGGCTTTGGGACCAGGACACACTTGATGTTGGGGCTTGAAGCCCTGAGGCAAATAGGAGTTAGGAGAAAAGAAGTGAGTTGATATGTCTGTCTTCCTGGTCTACACCACACCCTGTACAGCTATGCTCAGATTTATGTGCCTAAGAGTTAGGGGGAGGGGCGGGAAGGGGAGCACACAATATCCTGTGCGAATGTCAGTGAGAAGAAAAACCCCTTAAAACAAAAAAAAAGGGGGGGGTCTGAGTTTGGGGGTTCCCCCAAGTCCTTTCAGTTTACGACCATGGAAGAGGCATCTGGGGGGGAAGAATGTACCTCTCCTCCTCTCATCCACTTCTTTGCCCAGGAGATCTTCCGGACTCAGCCTCATTAACTCTGTAAGTGCCATGGGGGTTAGGGCAAGCCTCGGACCCAAGTCCAGCTGTCAGTATCCACCTGCTGCTTCTGCCTCCTTGCAGGAAGTTTACGTTTAACCCAAAGCTGGGCGTTGATAATCCTGTCCTCTCCTTGGCGGAAGACCGAGACCCCTCTGGTAACCCCCTCCCCCTGGCAACCATTCCCTCTCCCTGGAGACACCACAGCTCCACACAGCCTCCCATCTCCCTGGTAACCACTCACTCGGGCTCCCTCTGATGACAGCCTTGGTTGGGAGTGACCATGTGGAGATAGGAGGGGCTGAGTGTTTCCTTCTGACAACGTTCATCCTGCCGCCCAACACCTAACTGGGTGGAAGCACCCAGTGCCCTGTCAGGACGCAGGGTCTGCCAGTCACACGGTGGACCTGTGCTTGGGCTGTGCCCTCTCTCCTCCCCCTTTTCTGCTGCTCACCTCCCCCTCCAGACCCCTGGAGCCTGGAGCGGCCTCGCTTCTGTCTGCTGAGCAAAGAGGAGGGCAAGAGTTTTGGCTTCCACCTACAGCAGGAGCGGGGCAGGGCTGGGCATGTGGTGTGCAGGGTGGAGCCAGGCACCTCTGCCCAGCGCCAGGGTCTCCAGGAAGGAGACCGGATCCTGGGGGTGAACAACGATGTCGTGGAACATGAAGACTACGTGGTGGTAAGGCTGGGCCGGGACTCCTTGTGGGACGGGAGAGCATTCCACAGCCACTCAGGGACAGAAGTGGGCTGGGTACCTCCCTAGGCACTACGGCGGCACGGTATAAGCCTTGCTCCCCCCACATTTAGGAGTGCCCGGGTCAGAAGGGTTTGGGGGAGCATCTAGAGAGCTGGTTCTCATGGCAAAAAACGTGGGTTCCGGGGAGGTCCTGGAGGTTGCCAAGAGGGGCCAGCCCAAACCTCTCCCCCACGTGCGTAGGTGGTACGCCGCATCCGGGCCAGCGGTCCTCGGGTGTTGCTGACGGTCTTGGCGGGGCATGTGTATGATGTGGCCCGAGCTCAGCACAGGGACAATGCCCACCTCTGCCCTACCCTAGGCCCGGGGGTGCGGCCCCGGCTGTGCCACGTAGTGAAAGATGAAAGTGGCTTTGGCTTCAGTGTCACCCATGGTGAGCTTAGAGGTTTGGACGGGTGGTGAGGAGGGGGTCTCAGTCCCTGTTCCAGGCAGGCAGCAGACTGGACTTGCTTTTTTTTTCTTGCTTCCAGGTAATCAGGCTCCTTTCTGGTTGGTGCTAAGTATTGGAGGAGCAGCTGAGCGGGCAGGGGTGCCCCCTGGGGCCCGACTGCTGGAAGTGAATGGGGTCAGCGTGGAGAAGTTCACTTACAAACAACTCACCAGGAAGGTACGGCTGCCTGTTTCCCCACCACACCCCCCACCCCCAGTCTGGGCCTGGACCCCGCCTCAGGAAGCAGACTCCTTCCCCAGCACCTACTGTCCTGATCTGGTCTCCTACTTCCGTCCTGTCACCACCCCTCCCTCTACACTGTGCGCCAGCCCCCCTGCTTAGTGCCTGGTTCTCCTGCCTGGGGGAGGAGGTGCCTGCCTCTTCCTTCCCTACCCTGGCAGTTGATGCTGTTGCCCTGCTGGGTCCCCACAGCTTTGGCAGAGTGGAGAGCAGGTGACCTTGCTGGTGGCAGGGCCAGAAGTGGAGGAACAGTGTCGCCAGCTGGGAATGCCCCTGGCTGCACCCCTGGCAGAGGGCTGGGCACTGCCCACCAAGCCCCGCTATCTGCACCTAGAGAAAGGGCCCCAGGGCTTCGGGTTCCTGCTCCGGGAGGAGAAGGGCCTTGACGGTCGCCCTGGTAAGTGGGAGCCCTGTGGGTGGGTAGGGAAGGTGGGCGTCGGGGTGGGCTCACAGAGTATACACACCTCTCAGTGCACACAGAGGTATCCCTGTCTGAGCCCCGGCCCTGGTCTCCTCCTCCTGCGCCCCCAGGGTCGGGCCCCTGGTGTGCACACAGGGGCCTGGAACAGCACTGGGGTAAGTCGGGGAGGAGCAGTGAGGGTATCTATGTCCCAGGGCAGTTCCTGCGGGAGGTGGACCCTGGACAGCCAGCTGAGAAGGCCGGGATGCAGGCTGGGGACCGGCTGGTGGCTGTGGCTGGGGAGAGCGTGGAGGGGCTGGGCCATGAGGAGACAGTGTCCAGGATCCGGGCGCAGGGCTCCCATGTCTCCCTGATTGTCGTCGACCCTGAGGCTGACCGCTTCTTCAGCATGGTGCGCGCTGCGGGGCAGGGGCGCGGTGGGGCAGGAGTGGAGTGGGGCTCAGCTACAACAGGTTTGCTCTTCCTGCCTCCTCCCAGGTTCGCCTGTCCCCACTCCTCTTCTTGGACAGCACAGGGGCTCCTGCCTCTCCCCATGACACCTGCTCAGCCTCTCTGGCTGAGACTAGGGACCCACCACTGGCAGACACAGCTGAACCTCCTGGCCCTCGGGGCTCCCACCAGTGCATCCTGTACCCTGGGCCTGGCGGCAGCTATGGCTTTCGACTCAGCTGTGTGGCCAGGGCGCCCCATTTCTTCGTCTCCCAGGTGACTGATGCCCCATGAACCTCAGATCCTTTGCATCCCTTGCCTCCTGATCAGTCTTCCTCCCCCTCCCTCCCAGAGCCTCAGGGTGCCCAGCAAACTTTTCCATGATGTTCCATGTTCTGCATCCCCCCATCACCAGGTGACTCCAGGTGGCTCAGCCGCCCGGGCAGGGTTACAAACGGGAGATGTCATTCTGGAGGTGAACGGGGATCCTGTGGGTGGAGAGAATGACCTGGAAAGACTTCAGCAGCTGGCCGAGGCCGAGCCACCCCTCTGCCTGAAGCTAGCAGCCAGGTCCCGGCAGGGCCGGGAAGCCTGGATTCCCCCAGGCTCCAGAGAGGTGAGGGAGAAGAAACAGGTGCCACTGTGAGGAGCCAGAGAGGGCAGAGTGGGTGGGAGGGCTGCAGGGTGCAGTGTGGGGCATGCAGGTTGGGTCATGGTAGGTGGGGACAGAAGGACCCCTGGGGACACAAGCCCCATTCCTGGACATTCCAGGGCAGGGAGGGGCAGGGAAAAGGAACTCTTCTGGTCCTAGAGTGACCTTCTCCCTTCTGTCCCTGCACAGGACTGGGCTCTGGCCTCAGAACTGCTGTAAAGTACCCCTGCTTGGCACAGATCAACCCAGTGGCTTTCCTGTCTTCACTATCCAGCCTGAGATCTCTCTCCGAGCTAGAGGGCCGGAGCCCTGGGACTCAGACACCACCAATCACAGGGTTGCCCAGGGCCTCCCTCCCTCCCTTCCCATGGACCTGCCTCCCAGAAGAGGGTGTGGTCAGAGGTCTCAGATAGGCCCATGAGGGAGCCAGGAGCTCCAGAGAATGTCATATGGGAGCTTTGGAGAGCTGTGCCCCAAGGTGAAGTTGTGGGCTGTGGGGCCGGCTAGGATTTTTTTTCTGGCCTTTAGGCCGCAGCTTCCCCACCCTGTCAGGGGATCGAAGCCATCTGGACCTTGCCCTGTGTATGAATCCAGGATCTTTGAATGCAATGCAAGAATTTGGAGACCAGCTACATCTTCCCTCTGTAGGCACTTTGGGATTGTCGAGGTGGTGCCTGGTCACTATTGCATTTGTTATAGAAATGGCCATTCCCCATAAATCTGGCTGCCTGTGTTTGTGTTAGTGGGGGTGAGGGGCAGCGGACTCAAGGATGCACCAGATTGTCTTTGATGCGCCTCCCGATCTGAAGCACTGGAGACACAAGATCTCTTACTTCACGCTCTAGATGAATCACAGTAAAAGGGCCCCAGGCTCAAGGGGTGGGACCCAGTTTCTGTAGGAGAGGCCTTGAGACCTGGTTAAATTTCTCTTCTCTCCTCAGTCTCCAGGATAATGGCTCAACCCTGAACTCCATGTCTCCATGAGAGCCATTCCTCTCTGTCAAAAGGCCACAGCCCACAGCTCTGTTGAGTTCTATGACAAGAAGCTTTATTGCTGGGGCCTCAGAGGACCCCAGAGGCTAGAGTCTGGCAGCCTCAAAGATCCAGGGGGTTGAGTCCAAACTGGCGCAGCTGCTCCTTCTGCCTGGCGTGGAGCCTCAGCACAGCCGCATCCCACTGAGGCTTGCTGGTTCTCAGCTTAGCCAACAGCTGGTCCAGGCTGCCCTGCAGACACCAAGATTTCAGACCCCAGGAAGAGAGACGGCAGGGGTGAGGGTTGCCCCAGGTTTGTTTGTAAGGTCTCCTTGCCATTATTTTCTTTAAATTCTTATTCTGAGCTGGTGGGCATGGTTGAATCCTCTGTCTGCCCCAGGATGGAGCAGACAGCATGGTGCACATTCTTGTCACAACCCTCTAGGCCCTGCCCCTCGGCACACACCATGCTGAAGAAGCATCCTTTGGAGATGCTTCTCCTCCTTCCCCCTGGGTTGTGGCATGGGGGAGTGCTGGGCATTGGGGCAGCTGGGCTCCACAGGGTGATGCTTACATGTAAGATTTCCTCATACTTGGCCTCCATGTCTGCCACATGGGCCCGAAGCTGAGCCAGGGTCTGGTCACGCTCTCTGAGGGCTTGCTCAGCCTCTTTCTGTGCAGCCTCAGCCTCCCTCTGGCACGTCTCTGGGGGTGGGGCAGAGGATGAAAGAGAACAGGATGGTGATGCTCTACCCTTGAACAGAGTCTCCAAAGGTATCTAAAAAGGGGACCTCGAGTGGGATCATTCCGGACTCCCCCAGGGTCATCAACTTTCCTATAGTCCCTGTAAAAGCTGAAGGTCCATGGATTGAAGTGCAGTAGAGAGTGGTGGCTTGGGACAGGAGATGGGTCCAAAGTCTGGTTGTTACTCACTACTTAGGTAACCTTGGGCAAGTCTCTCTTTGAGCTTCGGTGTCTTCATCTTTAAAAACAGAATGATACATACCTCACAGGCTCACTGTGACCTTTAAACATGATAATGGACGGCAAAGCACCTAGCATAGAGGAGGTGCCCAATAAACATTGATTGACTTTGAATTCGAGATAAACCAAAGGTTAGGAAAGGAACCCAGGATCTGCATGACAGATAAGCAGCTCCATGAACATCCATAGCTAAACTGAAGATATTTTAGGAAAAGAAAACTTTGAGGCCAAAGTTGTGAAAGACCTCAAATGTCATGCTCAGATATTGCAACGTTTTTCTGTAAGCAAGAGGGAAGAGAAGCAAAAGCTTCCTGTTTTTAATATTTTCACTTATTTATTTGGCAAACAAACCAGGTGCTAGGACCTGAAAATATAGAAGCGAATAAGTCCAACATTTTCATTTCATTGTAAAGATCAGCTAAACTAAGAGAGAATATGCTTTGCTCCCAAGAGACATGGCAGTGCCGTGGGTTAGGGCTTGATTTGGAGAGACCAAGCAAAGGGGGAAATGGGGTGAGAGACCTACCTCTTCTTTCCTTGTAACTTAGAGATTCTTGCCATCCCGAACCCTCTGCTCTGGTTCTCAGTGGCAGAGAGCCAATGGTGATCCCAGAGCCCAGACTGCAGCCTTGCAGAGAAGGGCCTTCGAAGTCCACCCCTTCACCCCTTCACCTGCTGGCTGTTGTCACGACCCTTGGAGAGAAAGGGCTGGGAGGGAGGGGAAGCCTACCCAGCTGCCCCCGAAGGCCCCTCGCTTCTTGCTCCAGCTGCTTGCTGCGGGTCTCCATCTCCTCCTGCAGGGCCCGACACTGGCGACTCATCTCTGGGGTAGGGGGAGAGGGAGGGAGAAAGGAAATAAAGCTGTGGGTGGGGAAGACTGCTTGGTCTAGTGGGGCAGGAGTACAAAGGCCTTCTAGGTTCTTGTGATTCTGAAAAGCTGGGAGACCCTGAAAACCTGGCAAAGGGATAGGAAACCAGACCCCCTTCCCCCACTCCAGTTAGGATGGGCATTCTAGTCCTTCTCCCCACCTATGGTATGAATGACATAATGGCTGTGGCTGCATTTTGTACCCCACAAAGCACCGAGCACATGGCATCAGGCACCCTGGAAGGCAGGTCCCTGCCTGGGACCTCAGAGACCTTCCTTTGGTTCCTTCAAGATTCTGCCTGATTTGTATGATTTGCACTGAGCAGGGGAGGCCGAGTCTAGACCTGGCAGATGCCCTCCTTGTTCCCTTCCTTGCATCCTTTGGCCCTCGTAGTTGTCCTCCTCCAGGCCCCTATCCCCTGCCCATCTGCTCAACCGACCACATACCTGCATACACGGCCTTCCCTTCACTTTGGGCCCCTTCCAGTTCAGCCTCCAACCTGCGCAACCTCTGCCTCAGCTGGTCCTCAGAAGCCTTAGCTCGACGTGCCTCATCCCTGCGTAGAGCTGTGAACAGTTCCAGAGGTGTCCTCAGAACTGACTGGGAGTTCCGCTGCATCAGCTCCTGTGGGCTTGAGAGACTCTGGAAATCTGACTGTAGGACATCTGGTGGGTTTCCCTCCACCCCCTAGAATCTCATAGGCTCTTCATTATTAAGAAGTAAAAATTCCATGTTCTGGCTGTAAAAAATAGCTTCCTTCACCAACCTTCACTGCCCACCCTTCCTTTGCAGTCTTTTCCCACTAGGAGATGGTTAGAAGTCAGCTTAGCCCCCACCATATCTCTAACCCTTCAATCCCCAAAGGTACGGAAATGCCCCATTGAGCTGTCCCTGTCGTCCTGCCCCCAGCTGCCACCTTTCTTACCCAAGTGATCTTGGAGCAGCTCCTTCTCCAGCATCACCAGCCTGAGCCTGGACTCGGCCTCCACATCTGCCCTGGCAAGTTGGCAGAGCCTTAGCTTGTGCTGCTCTCTCCCCTCCGTCTCCCCTCCTGTCCTCACCCAACACCTTGCACTTCCTTCCCAAAGGAGATCCAAGGACCACTAAAAGAGGGATCCGATGGCAGAGTCTACTGGGGCCATCACTGTGTCCTCATTGCCCAGCACATAGTAGGTACTGAAAATATGGGTGACGACTATATTAGGAGGGCACAGAGCTAGACGGGCGTCAAGGGAGAATGTGGGTGACCATTTATTTCCCCAGTTCCTGGGCCCCACAGATGTGGATTCGAGGATATGAAGAGGAGGGTCAGGAGAGCTCATCTGTCACGCAGAGGGCTGAATTCTCTCCAGAGGACCTCTGCTTGGTCTTCGTGCCAGAATGTAGAGAAGCAGAGCCACCCACCTCCACCCACCACGACTCACCGGCACCCGAGTTCTTTTTCTTCTGTGCCCCAGCTTTCCTCCCTTTTTCTTTGGTCTTAGGTGGCATCTCCTTGCTGTCCTGGGAGAGGGAGGGGACCTTGTGTTTGGGTCTGGACATGCGGGTGCTTTCCTGACCACTAGGCTGAACCAGGAGTCTCAGGAGAGTCATAAGTCTAGTCTGTAAGTCTATTTTTTTTTTTGGAGACAGAGTCTTGCTCTGTCGCCCAGGCTAGAGTGCCATGGCATCAGCCTAGCCTGCAGCAACTTCAAACTCCTGGGCTAAAGCGCTCCTCCTGCCTCAACCTCTGGAGTAGCTGGGCTATAGTTACGTGCCACCATGCCCAGCTAATTTTTTCTATTTTTAGTAGAGATGGTGTCTTGCTACTGCTCAGGCTGGTCTCGAACCCCTGACCTCAAGTGATCCTCCCTCCTCAGCCTCCCAGAGTGCTAGGATTACAGTCATGAGCTACGGTGCCTGGCCTGCAAGTCTGTCTTTTATACTCTCTAGAAAATTCAGTTCTTGGTCTTTTTGACACCTTAGGCAGGGCTGGGGTCAGTGGGCAGGACGGAGTTGTTTCTCTCTACCAGGCAGGAGGCTCTGTGTACAGAAGTCATTCCTCTCAATACTCTTCTAGAGAAAATAAACCTTTACCTGGTCCCCTCCCTCTTCCCTTCATCCTTACCCTGCCTCTTCCTACCTGTAGGGTCTTCTCTTGCCTGCGTTGGGTTTCCCTGTGGAGTGACTCCCCCCTTGGGAAGGGACAGAGAGAAGGACCAACCAGCTAGAAGCCTGAGGAGGAACCTGGGGTCTGGGAGCCAATCCAGGGTGGCAGATTTCTCTCAGGGGCAGGACTGAGAACTGGAAGGTTGGGTTTCTGGAGGCTGCATGTTGTCCAGACAACTGGGAAACACGGAGTTCAGAGGAAGGTGGAATGAGCTAAATCAACTCACACAGCTTAAAATATCAAGGTCCCAATGGGTCAATTCTCCCCTTATCCCAAAATCCTAAGTGTAGTTTGAAGATTAAGGGCTTTGGAGCTGATCAGCTATGATTCACTTCCATGCAGGCACTGCCTGCAATTTGGAGACTTACAAATTACAGATTTGCGCATCTGAGATAATACTGTTGTGCTGATACAGAGGAATAGGACTGGCAGTAACCATCTTGGGTAATTTACATCCTGAGGTCCCATAGGCAAAGTGACAACAGGAGATTCCATTCAGTAAGGCACCCTTACAGTGTATGAGGGAAATAAATGCAGAAGCAGGTCGTCAAGAGAGTTTCCCACTTCGGAGAAATGAGGCACAGAGGAGAGGTGGACCCAGGGACTCCAGGGTACTGACCTGGAGACCAGAGACGTGAGACCTGCGTTCTAGTGCCCCTCTCAATATGTAAACGCGGGCAAGCCATTTAACTTGGCTCAGCCTCAGTTTCCTGATCTTTAAATTTTTGAATCTGTAAATCCTAAAAAGCCTGGGTTTTAACTGGGTATTTACATGGCTACCTTCTTTCCTAGCGACTTAAAGTATGGCCACACTTCCCCATTCCCTTGTGGGGCTGATTTTCAGACAGGTGTTGAGAAACCGCTTTGTGGAGGATACAGTTGGTTGGGGCTCCCTCTAGTGGACTTGCTTGGCCTCCTCCTGAATCTCCTAAATTTTTGCTTTCAATTATTTATTGGGCAGTGCTGGGGAGACTTCCTTTTGAGGATACTTCTTAGCATCTTGCTGCAGTAATGAGTGGCTGGAAAAATAAATTTGGGGGAGAGAGTATGACAGGTGGCTTGCTCTTGTTAGGCAGTCCCCACCCTCCTTCCAGCCTGTGCTGTCCTGGAGCATTGCCAGCTGTCTCCTGCCTGAATCTCTGGGCACCATACTGGTGAGAATGAAAACAGCAGAAACGTCAATGCTTTTCTCCTTGTGAATCAAGGGACCTGCAGACTCTTTCTTTGGGTACTTCTCTTCATCCCTTTCCCCTCAACATATTTGGTCCATTGCCCATTGTCAGGAGCAGACCTGCAGAAATAGCCATGAGATCTGACAATGAAAAGTCCTTTCTCTGGGGAGTAGGTAGATTCAGGCAGAGGCTGATTCATGTTTGTCAGTCATCTTGGTGGCTACAGGATACTTCTCCAACCCTTTGGATACTTAAGAGAGCAAAGAGAAGAACCAGGTTTGTCTTTCCAAGTGCTTACAGCTCATATAACTCAGGGCCACTTAACCTTGTGCACATCTCCCAAATCTGGAGAACACTTTTCTTCTAATCTTTAAATATATTTTTCATTTATTTGCCCTCCAGAACCCCTCCCAACTCCCCTGAAATGCACTGGGGGTTACTGTTCCTGTCCTCCTCACCTAGAAGCCTGTTTGTAGACTTTTTCCATGGAATGGTTAGTGTCTCCATTATGCCCGTTAGCCCAAAGAAAAAACATGAGGCAAACTTAACATAAGTAGAGAGTTTATTTGGGCCAAGTTAAAGGACTGCAACCTGGGAGCATAGATTCAAATTGCCCCTAATATACACTCTGACAAACATCAGTTACAAGTGGGAAAAGAAGAGGCAGTTCCTAAATTGTTTACCAAGAATTTAAATTAAAATCACCAGGTGCAGTGGCTGATGTCTGTAATCCCAACACTTTGGGAGGCTGAGACAGGAGGATCGCTTGAGGCCAGCCTGGGAAACACAGTGAGACCCCATCTTTACAAAAACCAAGAAAAATTACCTGGGTGTGGTGGCATGCACCTGTAGTCCCAGCTACTTGGGAGGTTGAGGCAGGAGAATTGCTTGAGCCCAGGAATTCGAGGCTGACATAGGCTATGATCACACCACTGCATTTCAGCCTGGAAGACAGAGCAAGACCCTGTCTCTAATTAATTTTAAAAAAAGGAATTTACATTAAAATAACATAAGCTATTGATTAGCCATACATTGTTCTTTATATCACAGATTCCAGGAACAAGAAAATAATGAGTGAGGCAGCTAGTCAGGAACAAAATGCCTTTAAACAATTGCTCCCAGGCATAGGTGCAGGGGGTGGGGTGTGACTGAAGTTCCATACTCAATGTCTCTCTGACAAATTTTGCATACCTCACCCAGCTCAGACTGCCCTGAGCTATTTTTCTTTTCTCATGCCGATGCATGGAATGACATATTAGAATAACGATTACAGAATGCAAGCAAGGTATCATGCCTCAGAGGAGCATTTACTTTACAAACATGTTCAGTCAACCGACTTTCAGGTGCAGAATGAGGATGTGGTTTGGGGTGAAGGTGAAGTGGAATAAGAAAAGTGCCGCAGGTCACATGATGTGATACAAGATGAACCAGCTCTATAGCACAAACCAACACGGGAATGACATTGTGATCAACAATCCAGTCCCATGTTTAGTACATTTCCAAAAACAAGCTAAATAAAATTTACGGGAAAAAAGGTCAATCTTTCTTTTTTCATTAACCTCAGTTTAGAAGTGACAATAGGAAAGATCATTCCAGCAGAACTCTGTCTTCTTCGAATAACATCATGCCCATCTGGGAGTTTTGAAGAGATATAAAGGACAGAAGGGTCACTCTTTCTCTTGCTCTTTTATTCAAATGTGAGAGATGGGCCATTTGTATATTCAAAGAAATATGGCTTTCTGCAGCAGAAACAGTGTACATTATATAATTCCATGCTGTGCAGACCTTATTGAAGATAATAAAAATTGGAAGCCTTAAACCAAGCCAGAGATGTGTAGTGCATACCTAGGCAAGCACATACACAGTTCTGTAGGTTAATTTCTTACCTCTATGCCATTAAATATAGGATTTGACCATGAAAAATACTCTTGTGCACCTATACTGTGCTAGGTACTGTGGAAGATCCAAAGTCAACAAGACAGTACAGCATAAATTAATGTGTGGTAGTTGTAAGAAATGAATGGTTATAGAAATTTAGAGGAGGAAAAGATTCCTTCTATCTGGAATGTCTGGTAAGAAGGACAATATTTCGGCTGAGTTTTGAAGAATGGATTGGATATTAGGAACACACTTCAGGCAGAGGGAATGCTCTGAGTAATTGTGATGAAAAAAGAAAGAATTGTGATATTTTATGACTTGGTGAGTCACCCAGCAAGGGATATATGTATCAGGGAGTAGTGTAAAACTGCAAGTAGTTTAGTTTGGAGTTGGGTCAATTTTATTGTTCGTTTTATTCCAGAGGCAGTGGGGAGTGTTTTTTTTTTTTTTTTTTTACTGTAATGATGTGGAACTATAGGAAGTATATGGTGGCAGGAAGGATAGCAGGGAAACCAGTGAGGAAAAGGTTTCAATAGTCCAGGGGAAAGAAAAGGAGGACCTGCAACTAGGTTGGTGGCACTAGGGATGGGAAGCCTTGACAATTATCTAAGAGCTTTGCCTAAATTTTCCCGTGGTAGATTCTTCTCTTTCCAGACAGGAACTCATAAAAGGAAATTCTACTGATAGGAAATGATACTGTTGACTTTAAAATCAATTTTAGATAAAAGCGATTGAATTGCAAACCCAGGATGTTTGGCTGAACAGTCCTTGATTTCAAAGATATTTTCCCCACTGATAAAACTCCCTAATCAGTCAGGGCTTTGTGGAAGAGCCTGGCGGAACTTACTGACACATCTGGTTCTGCAAACTCCCAAAGCGGAGGCTCAGAATTAGCAAATTAGGGCAGGGCACTTCTTTGGAAGGGAAGTTCCTATTTTCAAAGTTCTTCCAACCGAACTTTTAGATTAGAGAAGTGGAA